CCCATAGTCTAGTTGGAGAGAGAAGATTTTGCCATTTGATGCTATTTGATCTTATGTGCAGTTTTTTCAGTGCATAACAAGGTCTGAGAGCTCTAGAAGGGAAGATTCCATAGTGTGGAATGATGTATAAGGGAATACTATGACAAAATCTGTGGATGGGAGCAGGCTACATATGATCCAGGAAGAGTAACAACAAAGACACCCACCTGGAAAGTAGCTAAGTTGGGAACTTAACAGTAAGCATGGGTCTTGGATGCCAACATGGTCATACAATGAAAAGTTCAGTTTCCTTTCAGAGACCACTTGGAGGCAGGGAGAAAGAAGGATGATTCGATTTTCACTGTTGTCAGCATTGTAAGTTTAATATGGTATGGAATTGATATGTTGGCTGGACCAATGAGGGGTGTTATTCCCTCTTCCCACTCTGTGTACCCCAGAAATTTTGTCAGTATTCCAGATTGGGGAAGGATTGGGAAAGACCATGCTTCCTATGCATACATTCTCTGATGCTGCTGAACTCAGCCATTTTTTTTTCATTCCCCTAATCACACTGCTTGTCTCCATACTCGCCCCTGATGGTTGTCATCAGCTTAATATTGGTGGTGAAGAAAGACCACGCATAATCTTGTCTCCCAAGTACCTTCACTTGGACAGCTCCCTGCTCAGAGCTCCTTCCACACACCTGGATTTCTTCAAGCTCTCTATTCATCTTGTTTTTATCTAGTTTTCGGAAGCCAGGCCCTGTGAGTGAATAGGGAGGCACCAGCTGGCTCATTCTTTAGTCTCCCATACTCTTCTGAAAGGAGTTCTTAAGCAGAATGGGGGAGGAGAAGGAGATAAAGCAATGAGGATGTTCCTGTCCCACGATCAGTTTCTCAGACACATGTTGTATTCTCCAGGGGCTTTCTTTCAATGAAGCACCCCATTTTTTCCTTCTCTTTCCTCCTTTCCTCCTATGACAACCCAGAATTTTCAATGTTAGGTTTCTGGAGTTTGGTTTTTATGGGGCAGTAACCCAATCATTAAGCTTTTGCAGTTGTACAGGTCTTTATACTTTTCAAAGAGATTTTATGTCTTCACAACAATCCTATTGGAGAATGAAGATCAATGATACTTTGTCCCCATTGGATCTCCCCCCCCCCCCCCCCATCTAGAATAGTAGATGAAACTTATGCCTGAAACAGTGAAGGACTTTCTCAAGGTCACATAGCAGGTCACCTGGAGAGGCAACACTAGGACTTAAACCTTCTGACTCAGGAAACCCAACTATTTGTTGGATACTGAGAGAAAAGGGGGATGCAAATTGACCAGGAAATTGGTAGTTGGTATTCCCTGGTCAGGGAGTGGGGGAGGGAGTGAGTGGAGCATTGAGATAGCTCAACCCACTATGATCAACATTGGTTCAAGTGCCAAGGGGATACTGGTAGTTTGGCTTGAATAGGAAAAGTAATAGTTAGAACTTTTAACTTCGCCACAGGCACCCTTGCAGTTTCTTCCTTTTCCTTCATTGCATCTGCCATCTTGAAGTTAATGTGTTGAAGGTCCACTGAATAGGAAAATACCCACTGCACATACGCTTCTCGTAACTAGGAAGTGGTTGGGCAGGGGTCCAGGGCATCTATCTGCATGGTTTTTGAAATTGCTGTGGAATCCAGGTACTGTGACTTGAGACATTTCAGGCAATTGAAACTGGGGAGAAGAAAAAAAAAAGTCAGGAATGTTATCTGTAGCCCTAGGAGAAGCTATAGAATCAGGGCTGCATAGGAGCAAAATAGACAAGACCCTTTCCCAGAAAAAGGCCCAAACTTGCTCAATACATGTTAAATACTTTTTGAATCTGAAGTGAGGAGACAATGTGACTAGGATTTCATTACTTACGCAAATGGATTTGCTTTTAGTAGATGGAGCCGAAGCCTGAGAGCTGTTCCCATGGGGCAGTCTTTGTGGTTCCTGCAGCTGAAAATGTTTTTCCAGTGTGTTAAGAAAAGGTGGTGAGGGGTTCTTTGGGAGGGGAAGAGATGAGAGACTTGTAATTTTTTTTTTCTTGTCAGGTGGAAACATTTTACCCCAGGTCTGTTGTTCCATCACATTTCAGAAAGTTGCCTGTTGAATGAAGGGATAGGGGTTAGGGAGATTTTTCGAAGGGAGATCCAAAATAAAATGCTGAACTTGAATTGGCAGCATAGAATTCAGCTGACTAGACATTGGCCAACTTGGGACCCAAGTTTTGCTTTTATGTTTTTAAGGTGTTTGTGAAGGGGGTGGTAGTTCTGTATGGCTATCTCTCTTATTCTTTCGTTTCTCACTTATCTTTCTGTGCTTTTCCTTGTTTCTCTCTGTCCCGGATGCTGTCTCCCTCTCTGTCTGCTTCTCTGTTTGATGGCCTCCCTTGTCCCTGTACTCTCTTATTTCTTGCTCCCTTTCCTTCTCTCCCCCCACCCCTCCACCCCATCCCTTCCTGCCTGTCTTTGCCTCCTTTTGCTCTACTCCGACTCATTTCCTGCTCTCCCTGGAGGAGTTAAGCAGGGGCGATGCCAACCCTGCAGACTGTTTGGAATAGTTTAAATGCTTTGACACTCTGGATGTACTAGATGGCAGGGGAGGCAGTTTACTGGGTAATTCATATGCAAAACTGCACTATAAATTTAAAGCCTGTCTCAGTTGCCGTGGCACCACTAAGCATTTCATCAGCGTACAGTACAGTATTTCTGCCATCTTTGTTTGCATTGCAGTGAGTCATCAAAAGTCTGTCTTGTACCAACACTCGGAGCCGTGCATTCCTCTGGCTCTGAGATTTCGCTGTTTTTAAAGCTTCAGTTTGAAGTTGGCATTTACTCCGGGTCCCTAATCAAAGACGGCTATTCATTCCCCAGAGCAGCCTGAATGTTCATCTGCATCCGGCCTGTTCATTTAGATGCCGTTCGCTGCCTGGGAGATTGGACTGGCTAATATAGCCTCAGCTCCAGTAGATTCAAACAGAGGGCTGGAGACTTTTTTCCCCCTCCCTCCCCCTGCTGCCCCTCCGCCCTGAGTACACGCTCTCCTCCGTTTGCTGCAGTTCCCGTAGAGGCACAAGTCACTTAGCCAGCCTTTGGCGGTGACAACCTACAGTCCCGCGGTATCCTAAGGTAGGTTTGCCAGCCAGGAGACTGGGAGCCAGTAAAGTTCTTTCTCCAGAGAGTGTTCTTGCCTTCTCTTAGACCTAGCAGCACAGTGAGATTGCCTGTCTGGCGGCTTGTCTCTTTCTCTTGCTCCTTCTTTCCTTCCTTCCTGTTCCTCAGCTCTGTAGATAGAACTGGACTTATATTTTTTTTCAGAACAGAGCAGCCCTTTGTGTAGGACTTCTGGCCTTTTCTAAATTGGCTGTTTTTGTTTATTTTTTCCTAATTTTCTCTCCTTCTCCCCCCCGCCCTTTGAGAATTTATCATAAGGTAAACATCTCTTGAGTCCCTCTGCCGGGTTTTCATGACCAACCATGATCTGTCTGGTCCTGGTCCAGTTCTCAAAGCTTCTCTCACCACCACCCCCTCACCCCATTTTCAGTATCTTTCCCTTCCTGGCAGGCTCAGGTTGGGATTTTCCCTGCAGTAATGAGCTGCTTAGGGTATTGGTGGGAGGCAGGGGTATGTGAGTCTGGACAGCATGTGTCTGTGTGTATCTTCTAGTTAGTTTGTAACTCATTTGTTGGTGCAACTCAGACCAACCAGTTTGGGTTTGGAGACTTAACTGTTTGGCTGCTTGGTTTTGGCGGTGGGGTGGGACTAGAGTGCTCCTCAGTTCCTTAAAATAACCGATTGGAGGCCAAAGCTTTAAAAGGCCACTAGATCTTGGAGTATTGTTGGAAGGCAAGGGGCAAGGGATGGGTGGAAGAGGTTGTTACCAAAGAGTTGACTAGTCCTTCCAAGGGATGGAGTTCTCTCTGCTGTCTCTTAACTGTCTCTCATCCCTCTTTTTTCCTTCTCTTCATATCTTTTCTCTTTCCCTGAAAGTCAAGAAAGAACGGGTGGGGGAGAGGGGGAAGCGGGAATAGACTATCAGATCTTTTCCTGTTGGAGTAAAAGGACCTGGATGCTTTTAAAGAAAAAAAAAATCAAAACTTAAAACCTCTTGCCCTGATACACTGCACTACACTTGTGAATATTTCTCTATGTCTGTGTCTGCCTCTCCCTCTCTCCTTCCTTCCTTCCTCTCCTCTCTCAGATGGGTACATACATGTCTTGGCCCATGGGTAGGTGAGGATTGTGTTGCTATTCAGGAAGAGTGCTAACTTCCAGAAATGTTGCAGGAGAAGAAAAGAATACCATCAGTGTTGGCAGCATTCCCTGGGCCCTTTCTGAAACCAAAGGTTTCTTGTCTGGGCCACATCAAATTGCTGATCTGCAGTCTCTAGTCTGCCTTAGGTGTCTGGTGGGGGAGGTGGGGAGGGAAGGGTGGCAATAGAGGTGTTTAATTCTCCTTTCAAAAGCTCCATTCCTTTGCTGCTGGGATCCTTTTTTTTTTCCTCTCCCTTTTGAAAAACCGTATTAGCATTGAATGCTTGGAGATGGTTTAGAGGAAGGAGAATTCAGGGACCAAGCACATATTTGGGCTTTGGGTCTTTGGTTTTTTCCCCCACCTACTCTTTTGGTTTTCTTAGTACTGCTTCCAAAGCTATGTTTCAGTGTAAAAAACAAACTTGCTGTTAAGAACCTGTGGAAATCTATGTGATTTGGAATCATGGTGAGGAAAGGACTATGCAAGCAGGGAAGCTGGTCATAGGGGGAATGTGGGCTTAGAGAAAATGCCTTCTCCTTCTGTGTCCTTTTTAAAGCAGAACTTCCATTTAAACCTTTTATGATTGGGCAGCTGATGTTCCCTCCACCACTCCAGAAGTTTCCTGAACTGTGAATTTTCACTCTATTTTCACAAATTTTCATTTCGCCAGATAAGAAACTGATCCAACCTTGTCTCCTCTCCCATCTCTCCCCACCATCCTGAACCTCCCCTGTCCTTCTTTACAGATGTGCCCTTCTTTGGAACCAGCTGTGTTGAATGTCTGAGGTGTCCTGGCTCCTTGCCCAGTCATGTCCCAGATGTTGCACATAGAGATCCCCAATTTTGGGAACACTGTCCTGGGCTGCCTGAATGAGCAGCGTCTGCTGGGTCTCTACTGTGATGTCTCCATAGTCGTCAAGGGGCAAGCCTTCAAGGCCCACCGGGCAGTCCTGGCGGCCAGCAGCCTCTACTTCCGGGACTTGTTCAGTGGGAACAGCAAGAGCGCCTTTGAGCTGCCCGGCACCGTGCCCCCTGCCTGCTTCCAGCAGATCCTCTCCTTCTGCTACACTGGGAAGCTCAGAATGGCGGCGAGCGAGCAGCTCGTGGTGATGTACACGGCCGGCTTCCTGCAGATCCAACACATTGTGGAGCGGGGCACAGACTTGATGTTCAAGGTGAGCTCGCCCCACTGTGACTCACAGACCGCCATGATCGAGGACACCAGCTCGGAGCCCCAGAGCCCCTGCAACCAGCTGCAACCAGGCCCTGCACCCTATGTCATGTCCCCCTCTGTGCCCATCCCGCTTCTCACCCGTGTGAAGCATGAGAACCTGGAGCTCCAGCCGGCAGCAGGCCCAGGCCTGGCTGCCAAGCGGCCCCTGGAAGCTGGGGCCCGGGATGGATCGGGGGGCGGCGGGGTGGCAGTGGGCGGGGCGGCACCTCTGAAGCTGTCTCGAGTCTCGTACTATGGGATGCCCAGCCTGGCCACTCTCATCCCCAACATCCAGCAGGTACAGTACTCCCAGGGTGAGAGGACCAGCCCCGGGGCCAGCAGCCTCCCCACCACTGACAGCCCCACCTCCTACCACAACGAAGAGGATGAGGAGGACGACGAGGCCTATGACACAATGGTAGAGGAGCAGTACGGCCAGATGTACATCAAGTCCACTGGCAGCTACTCAGGTAACGTCACAGAGTCAAATGACAATCGTGGGTCTTTTCCTGGTGCTGTTATGCTATCTAGCCGTGTTCATGGGGCTTGGTACATTTGAGACTTCCCATGTCTTGGGGAATAGAACATGAGCTCATCCATGACATGGATTAGGTGGGGAAGATGAGACCCCAAAAGTTTCCATATCTCACTGAAGGTTACTGAAAGGGGAACGACTTAAAGCTATGAGTAGGAACCTAGGTCCCAGAGCGTTGTTTTTGTTGTTACTGTTGTTTTTTTAAACTTCCCTAATTGTCTCTCTTTCTTAGCTACCTTTCTAGTTGTGCTTTAAAATTTCCTGAGGTTTGGGAGGAGACAGGTAAGACTTAGCAGGAAATCACACATGCCCCTTTCCCATGTTCCCCTCACTGCATCCATGTCACTTTTCCAAGCAATTTTCAAGAGGCCAAATGGGGATAAGGCTGCTCCACTTGGAGATGGGGCAATCTCTTCTCTTGTCTTCTGTGTTCCTTTGATCTTTTGCCTAAGTGACTTGTAGCTTTAGGATGCTGGGGGCTGGGGGCTGAGGGTATCCATCACGGTGACTATAGAAGGTAGTTGCTGGGGTCATAGCTGCAGAGATTGAGCTTGTTTAGATTTGATGGCATAATGCTGATTGGCATCTGGTCCTGGTATCTATTTGCCTTTCCTTCTTCCCAAGACTTATAACTCATTTATGTTCCTTCTCTGCCAGGGGGAAAGCCAGTTTCAAATTGGCTCACAAAATATCCCTGGCTTGATGGGTTTGTCTAACTGCATCCTCTTCAGTGGAAAGAGGTGGCATAGGCCTTTTTTTTTTTTTTTTTTTTTTTTTTTTTTTTGTGAGGTTCAGTCCCCAGGATAAGTAGAAAGGCTTATTGAGCCTCAGCATGCAGTTGGGAGGTACCTACCTAATTGGTATGCAGGGTCTGGACATGGTACACTCAGCAGTTTGCATTCTCTTGAATTTTCACAGTGATCAGATTGGATGGGGGAGAACTTGCCACTCTATCTATAGTCTTGCTCTATATACCTTGATCTGAAAGTGATGATGGGGGGGCGGGGCAGGAGTTGGGGAGGGATAGGGAACAGGGCAAACATCCTGAGGGGAGATGCTTGTCATTCTTCCTGGTCTGCCCCACTTCCTTAAATCTCTTTGCCAGCTCCTATAACTGATCTAGTTAGCAACAAGTTTCAGTAACCTGTTTCCTTTTGCTCTAGTTTATTTTCTGATTTTTTTTCTTTCAACATAAGGCTGTGTGCTGCATTATTTTCAGAGAGAATAGTTGTTGAGACGTTTTCCTTTTTTGAATATAGTAATGGTGGGCAAGTAAGCTGGGAAGAGTATGCATACATATGTTCAGAATGCCAGGACAGTGTTGGTCTGATTTAGGCACACCATACGTGTAAACCCAGGTCATTTGCCTCCAGGGGTCTTTCTCTTTCCACTTGAAATTTAAAAGGGTTGGAGAACCAATATTTCCCTTGAAAGGGTATAGTTCTGATAGAAGGAGACTTTGAGGGGAGGCTGTTCATGTCTCCAAAGCCCACTGGCCAGGGGTACAACCAAGAGAGGGTTAGTTAACACTTGCTTCCTATGCTGCAAAGTAATTCTCAAGGAAGCCAGCAGCTTCCTATGAGTATGTGCACAGAGAGCTGGTTCTATGGATGTAAAATTCTGTTTTGGAGGGTGCCCTGTATTTTAAGTACAGGGGCAGCATGTTAGATTTAGCTGGGGATTTGGGTTAGCAAACGGTATTGTTTGTAATTTGACCTCAATAATTCAGAGAATTTCTCACTCTGCCCCTCCTGAAAACAAACTCTGTGTGTGCATTTATGTATGTGTGCTTGCGCGTGCAAATACCTCCTGACAACAAGGCCGATTTGGCCTGCGGCAGAAGAGAAATCTGTCCATCAGTGCAGTTTTCTCTGCCTACCATTTTAACAGAAGAAGCTCATGTCACACAACACTGGGGTGGGGGAAGGCTCTGCCAGTGTCAGAGGAGGGGTGGTTCCACCAGAAAAATGCAGTCTTCTTATAGTACAGGGGAGACCACTATGGTGGTATAGTGGTGCCAGGCAGGAATTGGCATCTAGTAGCATGAGTTGGCAATAGGCTTTGAAAGGGGGGGGCACCCACTAGTTTGAAGCTGCAAAATCTCTTCTGCAGTAAGCCGAAATCAAATGGCTTACTTCCCAGACATCTAGTTTTAATGAAATTGGTATGCCTAGTTCTCCTTGTACAAAGATCGAACCCCCAATTCGGGTACTTGCTGGATTAAAAAAACAAACCAAAAAGAAATCCCCAAACTAGAAATCAAGAGAACTGAATTCTGAGCTCCACTCGGCCACTAGCATGTCCTGTCTTCATAGGCTTCATAATGTTCAATGTTCATCCCCATACATTATGAGCAATGATAGTGAGGAAACTGAGACCCATGCATGTGAAATGACTCGTTCCCAGTCACATAGAGGTGGAAGGGTAGTCGAAAGAACACTAGACTTGAAGGTGGGAGATCTATATTTGAATGGTGGCATAAAAAATTAGTAGGTATTGTGTGTGTGTGTTTCTGAGCAAGTTAGTTTCTCTGTGATCATCCTCCTTATCTGTAAAAGGAGGGTCAGAATCAAACTTGGACTCCTCGTGGGTTGACAAGAGGAAAGAGCAGTGGTGAATCTTATAATGTTAAAGAAATGAGTAGTTGGTATTTCTTAGTGCCAGAGCCAAGGCTAAAAGTCCAGTCGTGGTTCCTAATTCAGATCTTACCACCATAGTATATACTGTTTATTCTCTCTGCACCTCAGCTTTCTTATCTATAAGATGGGGCAAATATTCTGACCTATCTGAGGGGAGTTTTAGGAGGATCCAGTGAGGTAGATATGAATTTACTCTGTAAAGTATGAATTGCCATAAAGATGCTAATCATTGTGGTCCATGGGGATGTTTCACTGAACTAGTTATTACTTGAATCCTCTCAATTTAAATTCCCTTCAATTTAAATTCTGACCTTTGCAGAGGCAACTTACTCTCCTCTCCATTGCATCCTTCACACCATTGTTTCTAGCTATAGCATGATGCCATTTCTCTAAGTCTGTGATTGTGTTTATAGTGGTTCACCAACCATAACTGGGTCAGGGAAATGTGGTGTATGTATGTTTTTCTTGGTTAGAGTCTAGGTTATTTGAAATAGTGCTGTTGACGTTGCTGTCTTTTTTGGGAAGACTAGTCTGGCCTCCCAGAAGTGCCTCTGCTGGGAGCCACTGATGATGTTAAGTCAGGAAAGGTTTTCTGGGGATGGGCAATGGAATAAAAGAAGAGTTTTCATCTTAGTGTTTTGCACAGTGCTTTGTAACACAGTAGGAATACAATCAAATAGTCACTCTAAAAAAAATAATTGTTTAACTGTCCCTTGTGCCACCCTCCACATTGAATGCACAAACAAAATAAAGTCCTTAATAGTCATTCATATAAGGCAAAAGAAATTCCTATTTTGGCCTTATCTGAAAACCATGTTTCTTTCTGCACTTTAAGTTCATAATTTCTCTGTCAGTAGTTAAGTGGCATTATCTTTATTCTTTTGGACTCATGGTTTTTCATTGAATTGATTGGAATTCTCAAATCTAAAATATTGTCATCGTGTAAATTATTTTCCTAGGTCTGCATCAGTTCATAGATTTCTTTTCAGGTTTCTCTGTCTGAGACTGTCTCTTTCATCATGTCAAAATAATACTCCATTATTCCCCTATATTCTCCAATAGGAGAATTAATTTCTAATTTTTGGCTACCACAAAGAGAGCAGTCAGTTTAATAATAAAATCAATTATATTTATATTGTACTTTCAGGCTTGTACTTTACATACATGATCTAATTTGAGCCTCACAAAAATCCTGTAAGGAAAATAAGTAAAACAGAAGTTACCCAGTCTTCCCAGGCAAGATACCTGACATGCAGAGATTAAGTGACTTGCTTGTGATCACCCAGCTTAAAAAGCCTTGGAAGTGCGAGTTAAACTTGGCCTTGCTGATTCTAACTCCAGTGTGCCATACAATACCACATGCTGTCTTTCTAAAGAGGCTTTGAGGCTCTTGTTTTAAATGTGCCCTTGGGATACAATGTTGGGAATTTTGTCCAGACCCCCACTTTAGCTTCTTCTCTGGGGGGGAGGGGGGAAGTATTCATTGGCTTCTCCCAAGAGTTAACATGAAACAGATTCTCTATTTTCAGTCTAATTCCTTCTCTTGACATCTGGATGTGGGAAACCAGACACAAAAGCCTCCTTGGGAACACTAGGATGGGCTTTTGGCACAAGCAGACCCTTCAGAATTTGTTGTGTTTTTATCTGCCACCTCACTAGTTAGGAATAGCAAGCACCCTGCTAAGTGGACTGGAGCCTTTCCCCGAGTTCTAGGTCACTGGGTGGGTGGGTAGGGGAGGGGAATGGGTGGTTTGCTTATTGGGAGAGGACATTTTCTGGAAGGCAAGTTTTCTTTCTCCTTTTTAGCCAGTAGAATCCACAGGCTTCTTTTATTCTCAGAAACAGCCTTTGCATATAAAAGAGCCCCTGTGAGTCATTGGGATATTCACTTAACCCTCTGGGCCTCAGTTTCCTCATATGTAAAACGAAGGGGCTGGATTAGATTGTCCTTAGGGTCCCTTTAAAGCCTTAATCAGTTCATGATTTTACACATATTTTCATATTTAAGAAGTCCACAATGGCTGATTTTGAGCTGCGATAAATAAATACAAGGGGCTCTCTGCTTCTACACTACATTGCTCTGTGAGCCCAGTTAGTTGGAATTGCCAATTTTGAATTCACTTTGTGATAACACAGCTGTAAACTGTGCTAACAGTTTTTTTTGTACAAAGATCTCAGGTCCCTTCCTCATCTTTTCCTCCTTAGCTCCTGTTTAAAATGTTTCTTTTTCCTGAGACTTGGATGTCAGTTAACTTCCTTGGACACATGTATAGTGTCCTTTTATAGACAAAGATAG